GAAAATCTAAATTCGCCATCAACACCAACTTGTATAAATTCGCCTTGGTCAAAATGATGTGTTTGTTGTAAACAAGGCGAATTCATATTACAACCACACATCACATTGACATTCAAAAGGACAGCGGCCTTCGCCAGTAACACCACCTTGTATAAATTCGCCTTGTTATTATCCGATTGTCAAAATGATGTAAACAATGATGTTACTGTAAACAAGGCGAATTCATATTTCAACAACTTTTAACAAACAGATTGTGGCGAATACTGCGGCAACACAAAGCGAACAACGAGAAATAGGCAGAATGTTCGAGGAATGACGTAGAATGTTCCACAAAGAGAAACGTCAAGTTGGATGAACACTGCGAACAGCGAGAGAAAGAGAATGAGCGATAAACTTCAGAATGTTCTAGAGTTGCCATAAGTGCCAGCGCAGGTATATAAGGGCGCCGCCACCACGAGGTGAGTTAGTTACGGAGTTACAAGTCAGCAAGCTACAAGTAAAGTTAGCGGAGAATCGAGTTGCGAATAAGCAAGCTATAAGTTTAATTGTGTTAACAAGTAGTAAAGCGTTGTTATTGCTTTAACAAGTATTGTAAAGTGTTTTTTACTGTATTAGCAAGTATTGTAAATTGTTTGTTGTACAATAAAGTTAATTGTACTACAATTCGGTCATCGTTAGCCTTTATTTAACAATCCAGCGATACGAGCCCGAGTATATTTGGGAAATCCCTAAAGGTTTCGAGGATAATCGTAACAATTGGTGTCAGAAGTGGGATTGTTAAATAAATCCCGAAGGATAAACTACTGAAAATGGCGAAAATTCAGGACTTAAAGATTGAGGAACTGAAACAGGAGTTGGAAAAGCGTAATTTGGCCACCTCCGGAAGAAAAGTGGAATTATTATCCCGTTTGCGGGAGGCTATGGAAGCTGAAGGCATCGACGTGGACAAATACGACTTCCAGGGTAAATACGACGATGCATCCGCAAAGGACGAACAGAAGGATGAGGCTGCTTGTTCGTCGAAGGATGTGCAGCAGACATCCGGGAAGGTTGAAGAACAGCAAAAGTCTCCAAGTTCATCAACAGCTATGGACTTGAACACGTTTTTGGCTGCCATGTCACAGATGTCATCACAGCTGTCGTCACAGATGCAAGCACAGGATACACGCATGTCACAGATGTCATCTCAGATGCAAACACAGTTGTCAGATATTTCGTCGCAGCTACAGGCACAGAAGACACACGTATCACAGTTGCTGGAAGTCCAGGATGCAAAGATTACACAACTGCACGAGAATTTGGCTAGAGATAACGAACAAATCAAGGATAGACAGGATAAAGTCGAGGCTAAGGTAGAAGAGTTGGAAGGTCGCCTCCGAGATATGCAGTTGAATCGTCCACCTTCTTCGACCAGCGCGCCCAAGGTAAAGACTCCATCCTTTGACGGCACGATTCCTTTCCAAGTCTTTAAGCTCCAGTTCGAAAAGACGGCTACAGCTAACAACTGGAGCATGGACGATAAATCCGCTGCTCTGTTCGTGGCATTAAAAGGACCTGCAGCGGAAATATTGCAGACTATTCCCGACTGTGAAAGGAACAGTTACGATGCCTTAATGGGTGCAGTGGAGAGACGTTATGGTAGCGAGCACAGGAGGCAGATTTACCAGATGGAGCTGGAGAATCGCTGCCAGAAATCCAACGAGACTCTACAGGAATTCGCCTCCGAAGTTGAAAGGTTGGCTCATTTGGCAATTGGAGATGCATCTGGCGAGCACCTCGAAAGAGTAAAAATCCAGAGGTTCATCAACGGAATGCGGGACGTGTATACCAAGCGAGAGACGTACGCGAATCCAAAGCCAACATTTGCTGAAACTGTCTCGTATGCTCAGACGCGTGAAACGGCGGCGCTCCTAAGTAGACCAGCCTACAAAGCACATCGCGTGGAAGTGGAAACACCGGACGAGACAAATGAAATGCTGAAGAAGATTATCCAACTGCTGGGCGAGAAAAAGCATGGTTCTGGCAAATGTTTTAAATGTGGAAAGTCAGGCCACTTCGCCCGCGATTGCAGCGCAAGTCCCAATGGTCTCAACAATTCAGCAGGACGCAAACGCAGGGCTGAAGGAGACGAAGCCAACTCCAATCAGTCGTTAAACTGAAACGAGCCAGCAGGAAGGGCCGCGTGCTGGCTCCAGAAGTTGAAGGGCCCATAATCTCCGTCTCGCGAATTGGCAGGAATGCGAGCAACCTCACTATTGGTGGATGTGTGAATGGGCAGGAGAGAGTACTGACAGTGGATACTGGAGCGACACATTCCATTATTCGACCGGATTTGGCCACTTTTTATGTGAAGCCACTACCTGGAGCAAAGCTGCAGACTGCAACTGGTGAATGCACCCAAGTATTAGGAGAAGTCCCATGCGAGGTAATAATCGACGATTGGGCCTCGTACACTAAGTTTATAGTGGCAGACATTGTGGATGAAGTCATCATCGGCGTGGATTTCTTACTTGGCCAAGGCATGAAGATTGACCTCCAGAGAATGATCCTGACAGATCGTCACAGGAAAGTGCCACTTAGGGTTGGTTACGACAGCCAGTGCTGCAGCAGACGGTTAGTCTTAGAGGAAGTGTCGAAGATTCCACCAGAAAAGGAAGTGGTTAGTTGTGAAGAGGTTGGCAGTGATGGAGACGAAATGGTTTCCTCAGGAGAAGGAAGTGGTTCACCGATACAGGAAAAGCGTGACGGTTCCGCCAGCTCAGTGAACAAGAGGTCGCAACAAGGAAGTGGTCATGGCAAGCCAGGCAGTGTTTCTGGCAGGAGGAAAGCCACTGAACCACGTTGCAATGGTGATACGCCGGTGGCCGGAAATGGAAGGGGCTGTGGAAACAGTAGCCGCGCTTTGAAGTGTCCCGGAAAAGGTGGCCGGCAAAGGCGAGCAGTTAAGTCGGAAGCCAAGGATGAGGTTATACATGTCCGGTCAATGAGGTTGACGCCGGCGAAAGAGCGAGACGCGGAAACACTGGGAAAGTTTCAACGTGAGGAACCGGATTTAGCAAGATGTGCTAAAGGCAGTGCAGTACGAAGGCAGGAGCCTGGGTGTCATGGACAGAGGATGCGGCATAGATCTGGCGAAAATGGTGCCCACGAGAAGAGACATGGTCTGGTCACCACCAGTGGCCGGCAGAAGCACGACCATGTGAGATGGTGCACTCCCGGAGATAAGCCGGAAGCAATGTCCAGTAACGCATCGCGGTTGTACATGTTACAGAAGAAGAAAAACTTCACCTTTAAGCTATCGACGCAATCGACGGTAATTTTTAGCTATCTGAAACTTGCACTTTACTAG